CACAAACCATGCTCTGGAGACGTTACTGTCATTAGGAAGACAGGGCCCATTTAACACCAACCCAGTGCTGGGCGTGTGGTAGGTTGGTAGCAGTTTCTTCTACTCTTGCTCACGCTGGCCCGTGCTCTTGGTACACCTGCCCGTGCTCGGAGTTCCACCTGTCCTCTGCTACCCTGCCCCCGCCCCCACCAGGCGGCACCCTCGCTAGGATGAGTCTCCAGCCCAACCCAAACCAGTTTTGCAAATGCCGCGAGTGGTAGACGGTGTTTTCCCAAAAGAGCCCAGAAGCACCTCCCCTCCCCTCGCACCCGGGCCGGCCCCCACGGGTCAGGGACTGCGGAAGACACCTGTGTGGCTGCACAGCCAGGGGAGCGTGTCATAGAAGGGACACGACCGCCACCTGCCTCTCACTCTCCGGGGACACTCACCCTGGCACCCGGCTGCCATGTTGCGAGGAAGTCCGGGCCACGGGGCGAGGCCGCCTGTGAGCGTCCGGGCTCACGGCCCCCACTCGGTTCCCGGCCACCAGCCAGCACCAACGGCCAGGTGTGTGAGACGACGACCCTTGGGGGGGCTGTGGCCCCCAGCCTTTGAGTTGCCCTGGCTCGTGCCCAGTAGGGCAGGATGGCCTGTCCTCTCCCAGCTTGCCCTCGAGGCAGGCTCACAAGAAACGCAAATGCTACTTGGGGAGTCGGCCATTCTGCCGTTCTAGGACGTGGGAAATCTGCAAAGCGGGACACGGGTTTCATATCAAACTGTAACGTGTCCGTTTTATTTATAGCACCACAGCATTACTGTTACGCTCTCTGGACATAGTCTGTAGGCGGTGTCGGCCTCCCCGGTGTGACCGGGCCCTTCCCCTGGCTGGGCGTGTCCCAGAAGGTCTGGACCAGGGCAGCAGCGACCAGGAAGCGCGACTCTGCTGCCTCCCCCCTCCAGGCAGGGGTGAGCAGTGACCCTGAGAATTAGCAGTTGTGAGGAGCTGTCTGTCCCCGGCTTTGGTGTCGGCGCTGGCCTGCCTAGGGGTCCCCAGCCGCTGCGGTCCCCGAGGACTGGACGCTTCTCCTCCTGATGACGATCGTGACGGGGCCGTCAGGCAACGTCTTGATAATGTTCCAGGCTTCAAACCGCGTGAGCCCCTGCACAGCAGTGCCGGCCAAGTGTAAGATTTCATCTCCCGGCTGGATCGTCTCGCTCTGTTCCGAGGCTGCCCCTGAGAGGAAGAAAAAGATAACAGGTCGCTCGGGTGACAGGGGAACAAGGAAGGTTACCTCCTAGCCTCGGTCTCTGGGGAGCCAGGACGGCTCAGAAGGGAACAGGGAGGCCCATCCCTCAGGGGCTCCGTGCTGGATCTGGAATGGGGCAGCTCATCAGTTGGTGGCTTTGAGGTTGGCATGCCAGGCTCCTGCTCTGTGGCCCTTGGGAAAGGCGTAGCCCGTTGTATCCCCAGAGGAGGGCGGCCGCGGGCAGCTCCGAGCCCAGAGCCCGGCCAAGGAGACTTCCGTGAGTTACGGAGCCCTCTGGGGGGCCAATCCCCTCCAACCTCGATGCACACCAGCCCGGCAACCTCTGTCCGCATGTGGTCTCTCCCTTCTGACGAGCTCGCCAGGCATTGGGTGGCGTGGGGAGGGGGCCGGTGAACCCCCCCCCCGGCACGCTGCCCCTGAACGGCCTGGAGAAGACCCCTGTGTCCGTGTGAAGAGGGACGTAATCCTATGTGGCTCCCACTCTCAAAGCTGTGTCCGGGAGGAGCGTTATCGTTCATATGGAACGCTATTCTACGGTATTCAGAAATACTGAATAAAAGATAATAGTAATGACAATGATAAGAAGTTGCTGAGATGTGCCGGGCCGTTGTGCACATCAGGTTCTGCGCTGACGCCCCACGAGCGTGTCAGTATCCCCGTTGCGCACGCAAGGAAACCAAGAGTTCCACAGCCCAGCCGAGCGTCAGAGCCGCTAGGTAGCAGGGTCTGGGTTTGAGCCCAGACTTTCTGGCCCCAGCGTCCGCATCTCCCGGCAGCTGGCTGGCCCGGCCCCGCGGACGCAGACGGGACGAGGGTGGAGAGTGGTCTCCCTCGGAAGCACGGCTCCCACTAGGATCCAGGTCTCTTGACTTTGAGCCACATGCTCAGCCCAAGTCGACCTCCAAAGGGTCTTTCCCAGAGTTGGAGTAAACACGGGTTCCTGGGGGAGCCCCCCCGCAGTGACCCTCGGTGCACCCCGGGGCCCAGCCACCACTGCGGGGCTCCATCCGACAAGCCCAGACATACCCCACACCTCCGTGCGGACGAGGAGCCTCGGGCCCCGGGGGGCAGCGGTCACTCAGCAGGTGAGAGGCAGAGCTGGGACTAGAACCCGGGTCTCCAGACTCCTGCCCAGGGCCCCACAACGTGGGGACTCCAGCTAGAAAAGCGGTGAAGACCCGGGGGTGGGGGAGGGGGTTCTGTGGTAGCTGCGGGCCATTCACGCTTTTCACAGGGAAACCCGAGCGACCCCTGCTCTAGTGCACCTCAAGCCCGTGACGAATGAAATGTCAAAATTTTTAATAAAGGCAGAAGCTGACGGGACCAGGACTGAAGGGAGCCCAGGGAGGCCGAGTGTGTGCAAGTAGAAAGTCAAGACTGTGTCCTCATTTTAAGCTTTGGTGCTTTGCTCATTATGGATTATGGATTAATTAAAATTAATTTTAATTTTTTAAAAACATCACATTGGGGGCGCCTGGGTGGCTCGGTTGGTGAAGCGTCCGACTTCGGCTCAGGTCATGATCTCACGGTTCGTGAGTTCAAGCCCCGGGTCGGGCTCTGTGCTGACAGCTCGGAGCCCGGAACCTGCTTCGGATTCCGTGTCTCCCTCTCTCTCTGCCCCTCCCCTGCCCGCTCTCTGTCTCTGTCTCTCTCCCAAAAATAAATAAATTTTTAAAAATTAAAAACAACCATCACATCGATTACTGTGGGTTTCGGGGCCTCACCTTGGCCCAGGCCTGCCCAGCTGAGCCAGGCCCAGGGCTCAGTCACTGGCGAGGACCCAGGGAAACAGAAGTAGTAAGGGGACGCCCGAGCCAAGGAGAACAGGCAGCAACCGCAGAATCGAGTCCCTAAATGGCCTGCCTGCCTCCTAGAGGGCGTGGACTTGGAAACAGCCACGGCCCAGAAGGTGCTCAGAGGCCTTTGGGGGCCTGGCCCGCCACTCGCAGCCGGAGGGAACCCCCGAGAGCCAGACGCACAGCTCACCTTTGAAAATCCTGTTCACGGTGAGAGGCTTGTCCCCGAGCAGGGAGCCCTTGCCGCCTTCCAGGCTGAAGCCCAGCCCCGCGGACGTCTTCTCCAGCGTCACCGTGTGCACCGTGGCCTCCGCTGCAGGGGAAGCACGGGGACCGTGTTAGGGATGCCTTCCTCTCCAGGCCGCGCACGCCTGGGTGTCACGCCAGCCCCGCGAAGGCTGCCGGCCGCCCTTGCGCGTGCACGGGTAGACACAGACGCATCTCCAGCAGCCCACGCGTTCTTAGGGCCGCGCGTCACTGAGCAGCCCACGTGGCCAGGGGGCTTCCTCCCCCGGGGTGGGGGGCACTTACTGGAATCCCCAGAAACGTCGCTGGCCACAGAAGCCGAGTTTGTAGAATCTGTGGATGAGTTCAGGTCGGGCGCGGCCTCCAGAGCCGGCTTCCGTGTCACAATCACAGCTTGCCTGGGGTCCCGAGCTTGGCGGAGGATGGCCAGGGCGTCGTTGTGCGTGGCCCCTTTGAGGGACTTGCCGTTGATGGAGAGAACCTCGTTGCCCTTCTGGATAGTTCCTTCCTGGGAGGCCAGCCCGTTGGGGAACACTCTGTGCACCTGAAAAGCCACAGGAAGTCAAGATCCAGAAGTCCCTGGCGTCAGATCCAGACCCTTCTGGCAGGAAGGTCCCAACCGGTCAGTCAAGGCCTAGAGGCTGCTTAGGGGAAAGAAAATTAAAATAAACATGTCTCAAACCAGGGCTGCCGGCTCAGGACCTCCTTCGGCGGCCACCCCGAGCAGAGATCACTCAGTGATGGCCAGCCTGGTCCTCAGAACCCTTCCTAACACAGCGTCCTAGACCACATCACCACAATCCCAGTTCCACCTTTCCTTCCCTGCAGCATCGCCCCGACTGGTTTCCCTGAAGCCTCGATTCTGTGCCACGTTCATAGGCATTGTATCCGAAAAAACAAAAAAGGTTTCCAAGGTCTGACAAAGTGAAGAACGCTGGAGAAAACAAAAGTTCTGAAAAACGTCTACACAGCTTAAGAAGGTACTGGAGACCTTGACACCTCCGTAAGAACGGGCAGCGGGATGCAGCGACCCCCGACAGTGTTTCGGTACAGAATCCTCTTCTTCCGGGCAGAAATCCTCGGGCCTCCACCTTCCGCAGAATACGCTTTTCGGAGAAACGCTCACCTGGGAGGTCTGGACATTCTCAGAGCTCCTACCCCAGAAATGCTGATCCAGTTAAAAGGGACAAGCCAGTGAGTGCCCAGCATGGCCTTGGCCGTGGACGGTGCTCAGGGTTAGTTCTTTCAATGACTCGGGAAAGGTACAGAAGTGTCCACGCCTGGCCCGCGTGCACCCTTTCCTCCTGGGGTTTGAGTGGCTCGCCGGCCACACGGGGCGGGGAGATGTCGCGACTCGGCAGACAAAGATCCCCAGTGCTATTCCCGTGGGCCGGCTCTCTCATCTCTTCCAACAGACAATGGACTGCACAACCAGGGATCACGGTTCTCTGCTGGGTGCTCAGTGACAGAAATCGGGCCTCGGTGGTCCTGTGTGCTTTCGTGTGCGGTAGAGGGCCTGCTGGCCAAGAAGGAAGTCACCGTTCACACCCGGGCGACTCCGAGACGACCAGCAGGAACCGGCCGAGTCACCTGCCGGGAGGTGTGCCGTGTTTAATGCTGGCTGATGCTGAGCTGGGGGGGTCGTTTCCAGCCGGATGAGGAAGTGCACGCGAGTCCGCATAAAGACCACGCTGAGACGACACGGCCGTCGGGCAGGAGGGCGCTCGGCTTTGGGGCCACGGAGCAGCCAGAATAACGAGGTCGGCGGGAAGGGGCGCAGGTGATACCGGCTGCCGTCTCGGGCTCTCCCCGAACAGGGGCGAGCCCCCAAGACCCGAAGCCTCGGGATGCAGCCGGGGCTGTGCTCTGCGGATCTTGCCCAGGAACTGCTCTTTCTCCTTTCCAGCATGGCCCAAAGGCCCCAGCCAACCATCATCGGCCTCTCTGGTGTCCAAGCCGACAACCCCCAACTCTCCAAGTGACCACGACCGGGGAAGCAGCCTCCTCGACAGAACGCGCCTTCTTCCCAAGGCGCCTTTCCATCCAGGTGAGGCCCCCCCTGCCTCGCGGCCTGGGCTAGGTATCACGGCCAGGTCGTCAACCTCGAGCCCTGGCGGTGCGGCCTTCCAAAAAGGCCCGGGGTCATAAATCATTCTCGTCTCGACGTTTAGTAGTTGGCACCTTGCCGGTCTACTCGCCCCACACGAGAGACGTCGGATAAGATTCGCTTCGGATTTCTGCTGTTGTTGTTGGCCTGAAATTCCCATAACGTGCAATGAACCATTTTGAAGCGTCCTATGCAGTGACATTTAGCGGGGTTGGAGGGTTTTTTGGGAAACGCTCCTCCAGACAGGACCTGCAACAATGCAGGCGTTAAACCTTGCGAGATTCCGATCCGGCAGTCCTGGTGGGGCCAAGACCCCTGTGATTTTTCTTAAGGTGATTCCGAATCCTTTTGGCATGTTCACGTTGCCTGGGGTACACGGAGCCCTTCTTCGTTAAATTAAGGATCGAGACGAAGGTAGGCTATGGGGCCACACAGGCGATCGTTACTATGCTTCCTGGGAAGGGTGGGTCCTGACAGCCCCCCTTCGGAACCCCGCACGGTGGCCTGGTGCCAGGCACTCCTCCGGCCCCCCGTGTGAGCTGGCACGTGTTCTCCCTCCGGGGGCCACTGCCTCTGGCTCTCACGCACCCCCCAGCGTCGGGCCACTCACCGTGATCACCTTGTTTTCTAGATCCGCTCCTCCCGCCAGGCTGAACCCAAGGCCGGCCCCTTCCTCTTTGTGCAGCACGGTGACGTGGATGCTGTCCAACTGCTGTGGAAGGAAACACGTACGTTTAAAACGTCCACCGCGCCAGCCTGAGCAGTTTAACGAGCGTGGGACCTCGGGCTGATTTGATCTCGAGCCCCATGGGGCTTGGCCACGTGCCAAGTGATGTCACCTCCTCAAACCTGTTCCATCATGTGGACAGAGAGGACTGTGCTTTCCGGAGTCCTAGGAAGCTTATAAGAGAAAAATCGTGTTATGTCAGGTGCAGTTCCGTCTCCTCCCCTGGCCGCCCCGCCCTCACCCACACCTGTTCCAACCCGGCCGGGCACCACTAAGTCGGGGAAACCCAGCGTGTGGGGTGACGCAGCTCTACCATCGCAGCGTGGGGCGAGGCCGGCCCCTGGGACACTGGCAACCCCAGGGGTCACGGCTGTTCTGCAGGAAGTGCTTGCTCCTTCTCTCTTACTGCTCCTCCTGGGGGTAGAGCAGCACAGGAAGGAACCCAGCGGACTCCCGGCTGCAGCACACGCGCACGCGCACGCCCACGCACACACGCGCGCCCACAAGAGCCCACTCACACACACCCACAAGAGCCCATACACATGCGCGCGCACAAGAGCCCACGCACACGCGCGCCCACGCACACGCACGCTGACGCACATATGCGCGCCCGTAAGAACCCATACACACGCGCACCCACGCACACACGGGCGCCTCCAAGGGCCATACACACACGCACACACGCGCGCCCACAAGAGTCCATGCACACGCGCACCCCTGCACGCACACGCGCCCACAAGAGCCCACGCACACACACGTGCGCCCCCACAAGAGCCCACCCACACACGCACGCCCACAAGAGCCCACGCACACACACCCACAAGAGCCCATACACATGCACGTGCACAAGAGCCCACGCACACGCGCGCCCACGCCCACGCACGCTGACGCACACACGCGCACCCACAAGAGCCCATACACACGTGCACCCACGCACACACGCGCACCCACAAGAGCCCACACACGCACGCGCCCACGCACACACGCGCGCCCCTAAGAGCCCACGCACACACGCGCGCCCACAAGAGCCCATACACACGCGCGCCCACGCACACACGCGCGCCTCTGCACGCCCACGCCCACGCCCACACATGCTTCCGGCCTGCACGTGGGCTCACAGGAGCCAAAACAATCCTCCTGCACTGTCTGGAATCAGAGAAGCTCCTTCTGGTCTTGACCCGAGGCCCCAAGCTGAAATGCATACCGGGGGCCAGGCAGACCGCTTACAGGAGCAAACTGTGCAGACGTGAGAGATTTAGGGGTGACGGGAACTGCCGAGGACCAGGCAGCACGTCCCCCCACCCAAAGGAACCTGCTACGTGGCCGCGTAGACCCAACGCTACCCGACCGTTCCCTTTAAGCAAAGAGAGAAGCCGGACAACCGGGTATCAGTTCAGGTTTCAGAACATTCAGACTATGATGATTTATAACATCCCCACGCAGATCAACTAAAATACACCTGCGCTTCCACGTGGCTCCTGGCCCACGAGTTGGCCCTCGCTGTGAGGGAACGACCTCACGTGAAGAATTCACTCGCTCTGGCACCACCGGGGCACCTGTCGTGCAGCTGACTCTGTGACCCTTGGGTTTGGAGCCCCCAAGACCCAGAGGACGAAGGGATCTCACCACCCACCTCCACCCTAGCACTGGCCCACATCTCCCCACTTTGACCCAAGTATCAGGTTACTGGCCCTGTAAGGGGCCCTCGTCCGGCAGAAAAGCAAATGGTCTCCCGGTGACACCCTGCACAAGACAGCTCTCTGTGTTCTACACACTTTTGCCTGAGCTATTTCATGTGAATAAAGCCCCGGGGGACCATGGTGCCAGGGTACTACGGGTGATGGTGAGTCGTAGCCCAGGGCGTCTTGTGCGGCTCAGGCTAAGTCACACCCTTGACCTGGAGAATTCCGACTATGATGCCTGCCTAATTGTTGCAGAATCTTGGATGATTCTGGTGCGGAAAGCCTTTGCAGATCTGGGGCAACGCAGGAGGGGGCAAGCCCTTGAGCGCCTGAGCTGAGCGGACCTCAGCTCTGCCCGGCCACTTCCTCTCCACACATCTTGCGGTTGTGCTCAGAAGCCTAAGGGAAGTGGCACTTTCGCAATGACTTGAGTGACTTTGGGGGCAGGGCCTCACAAGCCCTGGAAGGAGCCCCCTCTCTCGGTGGGCAGGGGAGGTCTCCGGGGTCAGAGCTCGGAAATTCCCGCGGCTTACAACAGCACAGTGCCCTGAAGCATCTCCTGGACATGAACGCCAGGCCAGCAGGCCGTGGGATGTGCACGAGGCACAGAACTTGGGGGCAGAAAACCTCTGTGACCTTGAGCTGAGCTCACCTGGCTCCTTTATAAAGTGGCTCAAAAGATGCAAGGAGCCAATGATCGCAAGCACTTTAGAAGCCACCAAGCTCCGTTCCAGTGGCGGGTCGAGTCTCGGGGGTCCAGTGAGGCCCTGTCCCGCCC